TTTTTTTCTGATAAGTTATTGGAAACAAAGCAGTTTGTCTTTGAATAAAAGACTCATGGACCATTTTCTCTTTTCACATATGAAACTATGTTTTGCTTGCTTAATTGTAACTTTAAAATATTACAACTGGAAACACATAACATAAGATCAGACTATAGCAGAAATTAGTATTCCCTGTTACTGCTTTTTTTTTTTAAAGTTAGATGTTAATATTTGAAAAATATTTCATGTTATAGGTTTCCCCTGCTATCCCAAAGTAGTGTTACAGTGAAACCTTCCATAAGCCAAAATGGCATCAAATAAAGAAGCAATTACCATTATTGTATATGGAAAAATCTCATAGTGTTTTTAGACCAAAACAACTCACCAAATCATACCAAGTAGCACATAAAACTAAAATAATGCTGACATAGAGTAAAAGTAGGAATGACACGGCAAATACCCAGCCTGTCTAACGGAGTTTCTGGGTAGGGGCTGGGCACTCTGTCAGGGTGTGTGTTACCTCTGGAAAGGCTACTGCAGAACAAATGTTGAAAGCTGTTTTATTTTTGTCATGAAAGCAAAAATTATCTTTGGATTTCTTTTGATTATTGAAAATAGGGACCAATGTAGGTCTTTTGTAAAGTGGAGTGACCTGTCATCAAGTTTTGAAAAGCAGGGGATGCCTTTACAATACCAGTGCATCTGTAACTGTCTTTGAGTCTTAAGGAAGAGGAAAATGGTTGTTGGAATCTACTTGCTAAAATTTACTGTTATACTGTGGAGACAACAGTGCTGAAGTTAGTAATAAAGTAAATGACTTATAAATAAAAGTGTACATATTGAAACATACTTTCTGCCTAGAGCTTACTTTACATAAGATTCTGATCCTATAGACTAACAGTTTAACATAAATCGAATGATTTTTGTATTTTGTTTATAATGAAATGTGTCAAAATATTGTAGTAGAGGGCCTCCGTTGGTGGCTTAGCAGATTAGGACTCAGCACTGCAAGCAGCTGCTTCAGTGTGAGTTCCATCCCCCATCCCCCAACCCCCTACCTCAGGTTATACACATGGTGTGTGGAGTGGCTCACATGGTGCGTGGAGTGGTTCCACAGACCTCTCCTGACCCACCGACTGCTCCCCTCAGCAGTGTACTGCCACAATCTGTCTGTTATGCTCCCCACTCTGTCTCTGGTAAATCCTCTCACTGCTCCTGCACCTCTGGCCTGTACCACTGTTCTGTATGAATAAATAAATAAATCTTAAAAAAAAAAAAGTTGTAGTAGAGGTAGAGAATTGTCGTCAATGTTTAATCCTAACAGATTACCCTTCTCGGTTCTTTAATGAATAAACTCTAAAACTAGACTAAAATTATACTAAAATCATATTGTATCATTGGAGAAATTAAAGGGTAAGAGTAAGTCAACTCAAATTTTCCCATTTTTTGCCTCATGGGTAATTGAGGCAACTCATAGTTGCAACTATAGAGTAGAGAACTATTCTGTGTCAAAAGATTGATGCTTTATGATTTTATCTTAAGTTGGCGTGTATCCTTACTGCTTTTAAAGAATAGTAAACTTCATAGCTTACATAGTGATTTGAAGGGCTTCACTGTCTTTAAATCTCATTGTTCTGAAGCCTATGAAAAAGCCACAGAATGCACTCATTTTATAGTTGTGTCCAAGGTCAAAAGCTAACAGTGCAAACAAATTTCAGTCTGCTAATTCAGTGTCTTTTTACTGCCCTCTACTATTGAAAAGGCTTTAGAATTTTCCACATGAACCAAAAATGTCTCTGGTTTCACTAAATCATTTTGGGATAAAGCACTAAATTGTCTCCAAGACCCTGTGCAGTGAGAGGTTCTAGGTCTGTATCCAGGTCTCTGTATACCTCTCAATTTTGATATTTTTTAAGAATTCTGAACAATTGAGCCTTCCTGGTGGTGCACAGATTAAGTTGCAGCACTATGAAGCTCTGAGCTGCAGCCACTGCAGCACAAGTTCCATCCCCTGGTCAGGGAGCTGACCCACATGGCACAGCAGACCTCTCCTGACCGGACCTCTGCTCCCCTTAGCAGTGTTATTTCAATAAACCCATCTGTTGTGTTCCCCATTGTACCTCTGATGAATCCTGTCACCCCCTGCACCTCTGACCTGAACCCCAACTCTTATATGCATAAATAAATCTTTTTTAAAAATATGAACAATTATTATATCTTATGTAGGTTAGTTTCATTAATTATATATTGATATTTTCCTCACTAAATGATAAGGTTCTTTTGTTTACCAGCTCTTTGTGTTTCTGTACTACTAATAAAAGTAGAATCAGGGCTTCATTGTTTATACTACTGGCATAAAGTAGATAATTTTAGTGGATATAAGTCAGCCAATAATATACAAAACCAGTTCCTGTGAGCTAGATTAACAGCAATTTTGTTTTATGATCTAAAAACAAATGACATGAATGTTGACGTTTTTCTCTAAAAATCCAGAGTTAAGTAAAGGGTGTCCCCTTGGTCTCTAGTTAACAGCTAAATTATATCCCACTTGGGGCTATCTGAGAGTTTCCAAGTCATTTCATTAATTTAAAATTCTATACTACAGTAGAATAAGGACAATTTCCTCTCCAATAAACAGTTGCAGTAAAAACAGGTCAGGCACTGTCTAAATTGAAGTATTGAGGAACAGTTTTCATTATTACATAGAATGAAGTAAAGATAGGAAGAACAGATGGATTTAATTCCAATTTCCTATAACATTTTCTCATTCTTTTACTTGCCACAATGCATTTTACATTAATATAACTTAATCTTATTTTTATATTTGGTTAGGTGACTAAAACTTCATAGTATTCAATCACATATTAGTGGCTCTTTCTTACTATGATCATGTATCCTGGAATTGTATCCTGGAATTGTGAAATTATTTGTGCAGGCCACTTCCTGTTTAAGACATTCTAGATTTTTTAATTAATTTTGAAGTTAGTATCTAAATTTTACTAACTGGGTACTTATACTGCTCTAGAGTAATCTAAAGGAAAAGGAATACTGATCCAGATTTGTCTTAAATTAAGAGGCAACTTTTTCTTGTAGGAGAATTGGGAAGAACTTAAGAAGGATCTGTAACAAAAATTAGGAAGCCTACTAAAGTTAATTGATCCTTACTTTAATGATGAGAATAAATCAGCTCTACTCCTCGGATTTTTTCCTACTATTTTACTATCATGGCAATTATAGCTTCAGAACTATAAATTTGTTGTCACTCACCTATTTCCACTGAGCCAAGCAATGATTTCTTGAGGTCAAGATTGTATTTTTGTATATGATGAAACTATAGTACAATGATTTTTTAAAATTTCAATACATTGTACAGACATCACTGTAGTCAATTTTAGAATGTTTTTATCAGCTCAAAAAGAAAACTCCAGATCCATTCATTGACAGTCATTCTTCGCTTTCCCCACATTACTTGCCTAATGTAGAAATTTTCTAATAATTCTTTAGTTTCAATTCTTTATGTATATTCAAAGTGAAGATAAATCTGAGACACTCATTTGACAGCATATGGTTTCTACTTTATTTCAAAAATGACGCTTTGTAAAATTTAAAGTGAACTAGACATAGATCTTAGTTATACCAGATAAATCACTTTGTAAAAAGTCAAATACTTTACACGTAGAAGAGAGAACAAATGGTATAAGGAGTAAATAAGAACATTGAAATCCAAGGGCTTAGCTTGTAAGGACAGAAAGTCAATGGAAAGGAGAATAAAGACTTGTCAAGAAAATAAAAACAGAACTATTTCTATATATCTTAATTTTTCTTAATTTCCTGAGAGTCTAGTGATTGTCCCAAAATAAAAAACATAATACCAGTTTTCCGGTCACTCATGGAAAATAGAAGAGCACCTAAAAGAAAATACTCGAGTCAGAAATTTCGTACATTTTCCTGATAGGTGGAATCAGGGCTTCATTGTTTATACCATTAAGGCTGTATTTTAACCCAAAATTCACTTTATCTTACATGACCTATGGTGTTAAAATTGCAGAGATAAGAGGCTCAACTTTTACAATTCTGGATAAGTTTTTGTTTAGTAAAAGGGGCCCTCAGATGTCACTGGAATATTAAAAATGGCCCAATTTAAAAACTATCTAGAATATGGAGGACCTTTTTCACATAAATCAAATGAGAAAAAAAATATCAGCAAGAGAGGATTAGGTTGAAATTCCCTAGTCTGTTCATACAATCCTTTAATCTGCTCTTTGATGATCACAAGACCAAGCCTCAGCAATTCCCCTTTAAAGCAAATAGTTGATAGAACCCAGAAATGACTCCTGCAGGAAGTGTACGTAATTGTTCTTAAAACCCGGTTAGAAAATTCATGTAGTCTTCTGTAAAGTAAAATGTCATTTCAATGACATATTTGAATAATTAAACTTAGAAACTCATCACCTAAGTATAATGAATAGGAATTTAACCTTTTGCCAAAATACAACTTATGGTTGTTTAAATTACACATCCAAAAGTCTTCATGAATCTTTTAAATTCTAAAAATAATTTAAAACTTTCTAATGCATAAAACCTCTGTGTAGCTTACACGCAATATAAGCAATAGTTCTGTAAATTGACTTAAGGACAGTCACAAGGTTTGTTTCTATGGTAACCAAATTCAAAAAATCAGTCTCTTAAACATGGTTGTCATAGATTAAGGGAGGTGGCTGCCCATACTTGACTATTGCTTTTCTTTCTCATCTTTCCATGTTTTTCTGTCAGCAACTTTGGTTCTTGTAAAATTACATATGAGACAGTTAAGCAGGCTTTTAACTCATATGCGAGCATCTCATTCACAAATTATTGTATGACATTCATCCGCATGAGATATGCCCAATGACAGATATTTTTCTCCCTGCTACTCTAAGCTAAAAGAAACACTAAGTAGAAAGGAACATTGTACAATGTGTTCAATGCATTTTTCAATTACACATATACTTTAGTGCTTCAAAATCATTGAATAGGATTCTTTAGATGTTAACATTGGTTAGAAGTAAAAATTATCATCAATGATTTTAGTCTAAGTTTGAGTAATCCTCATATTTGGATGCTCATTCAAAAAATGATCATCTTTTAAGCTTGTATACATTTCTCAAAATGCTAGATCAATAAAAAAAGACTATCCGTAGCAGTTGTTGTTGAAGTTATAGAGAACCTGGAATTCTCACATATTGCTGGAAGAATATAACACCATTTTGGAATTCGGTTTGGCAGCATCATGCAATTTTAAATATATACTTGTCATTTGATTCACCAGTTCTACTCTTAAATATTTATCCAAGAGAAATGAGTACTCACATTCACATAAAGATGTGTAGATGAATATTGGTAAGAAATGTATTCAAAATTGCCCTGAACTGAAAAATATTGGTATTAGTCACTGTGGTAGACATTAAGTGAATTTTCCCAAAGTGGTCTGCAAACAGCTAGCTATCAGCTTCTTCATGAGTTGCAGAGAATCAGCTAGGTAGAGGGCACGCCCTGCTGAAGGCATCACACTTCTCTTGATTGAGCAAGGGGGCCATTTTGACTTCATGTGGGACATTCTGATGTGCAGTATTTTGCTCTTAAGCTCTCTTCTAGAGTGAACAGTTTACAGGGTCTGCACTGTAGTTCATCTTCTGCATCTTCCCAATCCCATTCCTACTCCTTCTACATGCATTGATCTATATGAGTCTCCTGCCTCAAACATCTCACTGTGTGTTTCCAGGAAGCCCCACCTGTGATGATGATCAAACTCAAACCAGCCCTCCTCTGACTGATGACTTTCCACTGGTGCAAGGTCATCTTCCATCCTTCCAGTCCAGGCCAAGTGATTACCCATGTTTTGAATAACTAGAATTATATGTGAGTACACACTAATAGTCCAAATGTGGAGGGATATGAAAAATATATAATTCTGATATTTTTTAGGCCTGTCAGGAGCAAATATTTTAGTTTTCTCATTACATTTGTTTCACATTATTTTTCATAAATAAAGCCAGAAATGTTTGAATTATGCAGAGGATTAGAGGAGATTTTATGAGTATCTCTGCATGCCAATGCACAAAACCTGAAATCCACTTTTTTTTCCCCACTCCATCCCTTTTTTTTTAAATTTATTTATTTATTCATGCAGAACTTGGGTACAAGTCAGAGGTGTAGGGGCAGTGAGAGGATTCACCAGAGACAGAGTGGGGAGCAGAACAGGCAGATCAATAAAGCACACTGCTGAGGAGAGCAGTGGGAGGGTTAGGAGAGGTCTGCCGAGCCATGTGGATCACTTCCTGGGCAAGGGATGGAACACACACTGAAGTGGCTGCGGCTAGTTTGCATTTGCAATGATGAGTCCTAACCCATTGCACCACCAGGGAGGGCCCACCATCCTTTTTTTTAAACATTGAAAAGGAGAAATTTGCCTACCTCTGTGTAAAACAAAAAGAAATTTATTGTGTTCGCTTATTAACTCTTAAATATCTTAACGTGGTTAGATGGAGGATAATTGTTACTTTAAAACTTTTTTTCTCGGCCCTCCCTGGTGGCGCAGCGGGTTAAAGCACTGCACTAAGAAACTAAAGCCCCGTCAGCAAGAGTTCCCGCCTGCCCCGGAGGCGACCACATGACGTGGCAGACCTCTCCTGGCCAGCCCGCTGCTCCCCTCAGCAGTGTACTTCGTCGATCTGCCTGTTCTGCTTCCCGCTCTGTCTCTGGTGAATCCTCTCACCCTCCGCATCTCTGGCCTGTACCCCAGTTCTGTACAAATAAATAAATAAATCTTTTAAAAAAAAACAAAACTTTTTTTCTCATTCAAGTGAGTTTACAGAAATCTTGGAATTTTACCTTCACCTAAACCTCACAATACTGCTCAGGCACATGGAAAGGGTGACCAACTGTCTGTTACCTTAACACAGACTATACTTTTATAAATATTTAAAATCATCTCGGGCCCTCCCTGGTGGCACAACAGGTCAAAGCGCAGCACTATGAAGCTGTCAAAGCCACTGCAGCACAAGCTCAATTCCCAGCCAGGGATCTGACCCACATGGCACAGCAGACCTCTCCTGACCTGCCTGCTGCTCCCCTCAGTCAATCCACCTGTTCTGTTCCCCACTCTGTCTCTGGTGTATTCTCTCACACCTTCACCTCTGGACTGTACCCCAGTTATTGTAAGCATAAATAAATGAATCTTTTTATTTATGATTGCAAGAGGCCAACAATTAGAAATGGTATTGATATTTCTTGGTGTTCTCCATATTTCTTGGGCTATTCTATTCCCCTCTATTTGTTGGGCTTGGGCAGTGGCAGGTCTGTCTCTAAAATACAAAGCTAAGACCCATGTACTTTAAATTTGTTACTGTTTAATAACAATAATATAACATAGCAACTTCTTTATGCAGACACCAGGGACAACAGGCATGTCTCCTGGATTCCTGGTCCCAAAGCCCTGTGGTTAATTAAGGGCATGACAACAGGCTTCAGAGGTTTCAGGCCGACCAGATAGGGTGGCGCTTCCCATCTCTGAGTTCCCTGGTATCATCAAGAGCACTGCATAGAGTATCAGCATCATCTTTTCCTGAAAAAAGAGACACATCATGGCTTCATGAAGACAAAGAATTGATTTGCTTGTCTAGTAGTGGTGACTTGCTGGGAGCCATTAGCCTGAGCATTTAAGACAGTGGTTCTCAGACTTTAAGGTGCATTAATGCTAGAAAGCATGACAGAATCCCTGGCCCCAGCTCCAGAGACTCTGAATTTAGTAGATCTGGGCCAGGACCCAGGAACAAGCCTTCTAGGAATTTCTAATAAAGATTATTTATTTAAATGCATTGGGCTACAGTTTCCCAGTTGAAACTAAATGCACAATAATGCCCCTTTGTGACTCCATCTGTACACCACAGTATCTTCACAGATTCCCTTAGCTTTCTCCCTCTGTCCAGTTAATCACAAGCACAGTCATAACATTCAAAAGACATGGAAAAAAATCTCTTTCCTTTTGCTGTGTAGCCACTCAGATCTCCTTCATGGTGGCAGTGATGATTACAGTTTTTCATGTAACCTTTCAAAGATACTCTGTGAATGTGAACATGAATGCAGGCATATGTATTTTTCTTTCCACAAATGATAACACAGTTTTCTGCACATGGTTTCCCTTTCCCATTCCCTCTGCCTCCAGCTTAATATAGGTTGGAAATCTTTCATATCAATACACAGATATAGATTTTCACTTTTTAAAATAGCTGGATCCATTGTATTAATGGGCTATACTTTATCTGAATGGTTCTATTGATGAACAATTTTTACCACTCTTTGCTAGCACATATAATATAGCATTGGATGACCTTGTCTCATATCATTTCACACTCTTGTCAGTATATTTGTAAGAAAAATCCCACAAGTGGGATTCTTAGTTATTTTGTGAAATATTGCAGATTGTCCTTAATAGAAATATATATTTATATTTTTTGACAGATCTAAACAGGTGGAAAAGGCTACCTTGTATGTTTAATTTTCAAGCCAGGTGAGCTTGAGTATCTTTTCATGTGCCTGAACAGTATTGCACTTATATGAACTATCTCTTCATATCTTTTGAGATTATTTTATTTAATTTTTAAAATTTTTTATAAAAGATATATTTATTTATGCACACAAGAACTAGGGTACAGGCCAGAGGTGGGGGTGTGAGCAGATTCACCAGAGACAGAGTGGGAAACAGAAGAGGGAGACTGACTGAAATACACTGCTGAGGGGAGCAGCAGGCAGGTCAGGAGAGGTCTGCCATGCCATGTGGGTCGGCTCCCTGGCTGTGTATGGAACTCATGCTGCAGTGGCTTTGACAGCTTCATAGTGCTGCACTTTAATCTGTTGTGCCACGGTGCGGGGGGAGGGCGAGATGATTTTAATTATTTATAAACATAGTCTGTGTTAAAGGTAACAGACAGATGGTCATATCCTGACTAATGTGACCTTGATGACAGCATCAAAACAAGCATTCTCTCTCTCTCTCTCTCTCTCTCTCACACACACACACACACACACACACACACCTGTCACCTGTCTGTGGATTTATTGATCCAGGTATGCAATCTTAGCTTTGCTACTTGCAGTGTGACCTTGGGCCTGTTACTTAACCTCTTTGGACCTCCTTGATGTCAAGAGATAAGCTCTGTTTTTTTGTTTTTTTTTTTTTAACATGTTCCAGAACGACAACTTTAAAACCAGGGAGTTAAAAAAGTAAATAAATAAAAGTAGGACGTCAACGAAATACAAGATTCGTTTCTCCACCGGGAAATCTTGCAGCAGGTGGGAGGCTCGCATGTAGCAGCCAAACAGAGGAATCCGGGAGAGCTGCCGGGAGAGTGGATCAGGCTCCTTAAAGCTCTGGTTCTCCCTTTCTAGGGAGCAGTGCTCAAGAAATAAAATTCAAGCAAATAAGGAGCCACTTTCTGTGGTATGATCCGCCCACTCTGTCGATCCTGGGGTTCCCAGGCGCCCTTCCCTACCAGACCGAGGGCGGCGCTGCTGCCCTGACAGCCCAGAAGCCTCGGGTGCTCGCTGCCCCGGGGGCCCAGGCTGGGGTGGGGGGGGGGGTGGCGGCGGGGTGGGCCCCGCAGTCACGTGATCAAGGCCAGCTGTAGGCTGGGGGCGGCGAGACTGAGCGCCGGGAGTCTGGGGAGGGGGAAGTACCCGACGGCTGCGGCAGCCCCCAAAGTCTGCAGTGATCGCGTGCAGAGTACCACCCGCGCTAAACGGTCGCAGCACCAGCACTGCAGAGCCCAGCCCGGAGCCCGCCACACTGCAGGTGAGTCGCGGCGGGCACCCACTGGAGCGCGGGATGTCTGCAGTCTCTGCTCCCCCCGCAACTCCCCTAGACCGAGGGTTTCAACCCATCCGCCATCTCGGTCTTCAGTACCTCGTGGCATCCCGCTGTCCCTCCTAAACCGTGGGTGGGTAGCGCTACCACAGGCGGAAACCAAGCGATGCTAGCTCTGGCGGGCCCAGGTCTCCGGGGATCAAGAAAAAAGTGCCCTCGATCGGGGCTAGGGCTTACTCAAGCTAGGGCGTTGCAGGGGCAAGGGAGATGAACTACGCGGGGGCACAGGCACTGCAGCCTGGCTGGAACCTATTCCCAACCTCTAAACCCTCTAGCCCCAGCCTTCAACTCATCTCTTGAACTCGCTCCATCCCTTGGGCTGTTTGCCCTGTTTTCTTCTCCTAGCGGCCAAGTTGCTGTTCCCTAGGGTGTGAGCCTGTGCTCCCCCATCTCCGCCTCCCCTCTGGTTGCTCCTGGGATTCAGGGGTTTTTCCCTGTGCAGCGGGTGGCCAAGCAGGCCTGTCACCTCCCGGGGAGGTAGTGCACCTGCGGTGCAGGCAGGCTCTCAGGATCATGGCTGCCTGGCAGACCGCCGCCCTTGACCCGGCTCTGCCCCAGCGCCCACCCCAGCGCCCACCCCAGCGCCCACCCGGTCCTGGACTGCAAATCTTGTCCCAGGGATTGCCCTCTTCTTAAGGGCTAATGCGCGGTCTATCGCTGCTGTCTACGCGAGCCCCTCGACTTGACACAACTTCCACACAAATTGCTGCTCAGGCAGATCTCAGGTCTGGAACGACGGTTAGGTCAGCTTAATCCAATGACGCCGAGTTGATGAAATAAGCTACAATATTTCTGAGACCGTAATTCCCTTCAGTTTACCTTGGCATGCTAGTCTGGTTTATATGGGCGCGGATTAGTTGACTTCCTTGCTAGTGAGGTCTGAGATGGATGTGATCTATGCAGAAGGGAAGCTTGAACTTTAGAGAATTGTGGAGTACGCAAATTTAGGGGTAAAAATGCCTAGTAAATACATCTATTTTGACATTTGCTGTGACTCAAAACTGACTTGATGGGGTTCTATTAAGTAATAGTTATTCAGGATTTGCTATTGAATTCTGGCTTGCCAGTGGCTTGAATTTCCCGTGTGCCCAGATTCCAGTGGTGTGTGTGTGTGTGTGTGTGTGCCTACTGTGTTCCAAGCCTAGTCTGAAGATGCACGAGTTGCAGAGGAAGCTTATGTTAATTCAAGATGGCAGCACAATAAATCAGGCCAGGAGAAGCAGCACAAACCACAACTAGCATTAGCTGTCCCCTGGCATAAGCCTGGGGGAGAAAGTGCTTTCCTGGATGTCTCCGTAGCCAGCCCCAAAGAATAGGAAGATTCTTGCAGCAGAATAGAGTTTAGGGTGTTACAAGGTCCTGGAGAGGTTAAGTGGGCAGTTTGGAGAGTTATTATTATTTTCTCTAACTTATCAAAAACTGGTGCAAAGACCTAGCTAAATAAAACTCTGTGATATTGTTCTGATTTTCTCCATGCTTCAGTAGAGTTGATGTATGTGACTGCTGAGGTCTGTTTGGTGCATAATTTCAGTGCTGTTTTGTACATACTAATGGCTGTTAAAAGGGATGAGTATCTAGTGTAAACATCATCCCAGAACAGTACACATAACAAGCATCAGGTTCTTCTAGCAACTTTTTTTTGAAGAATAGATTTAATTCCTTGGTGCTAGAAAAAATTATTAATTCTTGAAATGTTACTTATTGAAGGTTTCTTTCTTTTTTTTTTTTTTTAAACACAACCTTTCTTTCCTGTTTTATGGCTGTGCTGCAGCCATCTTCTCTTTGAGGAAAGGAGTTGCATGAGGAGGCAAGTGCTTCAGAGATAATGGAACAGAGGAAGATTAGTGCAAAGGTCAGGAATGGCGGAGCTGGAAACAGCCTGAGAAAGCACTCTGCTGTCAACCCCCCCTTTCAGCCTGGGAGCTGAATGCAGCAGAGTGAATGTGCAGCCCAAGCCATATAACTGGTTGGCAACTGGCAGAGATGACTACAATCCAGGACTTGAAACTCCACAATTCTAGGGAGCAGATGCCATCTTTTAAACTGGAGAGGGAAGGGCAGGTCTGTCATTACTAGAATGGCAACATTTAGTGCCAGGTGACACGAAACTGTGATATGAACTAGGAAATTTATAGCTACATAAAGTGATATACTTCAGTTTTCTTATTCAAGCCCCTTTATTTTTTAAGCACATATCCATATTTTCCAGTGACTAATTATTTCTATATTTAAGCAACAAAACCATCATATTAGGCAAAATCTTTGAGGTAAGAAGTACATTATTTTGTCAAAAAAATTAGTTGTACCTGTTTGCAGAACACCATTAGGTTACTTTCTTTTCAGAAGAAATCAAAGTAGGTCATATAATCACTTTTGATTGTATCTAATTTTAGTTGAGAGTAAATAACAATCCTATTTAAAAATAACTTCCAGACAGCATTGATGATAGTGGCTTGTTCTAGAATTTAAGTTTGAATTCTGCAAATCATGTACTGGTGACCCCAGATCTGTTAAAGCAGAGTTAGAAATTCTTCACCAGCTAGTGTTCTGCAGGGGTGGTGAGGACATGGAAAATATTTCTTCTGGGCATTCGGTACCTTCTGCAGAAGAAGGTGGACACGGAGAGTAGTTTGAGATGGTAAAGCAGATAGCAGTAGGTATGGATGGGTATATTGAAATGCAGATGTCACATGTACCTATTTAAAAAATCTTTCATTAGAACATGAACTTCAGATTCATTCACTTAAATTTTCCTGATGTGCCAAAGATATTTAAAATTACAAGTTTTTTTAAAATCCAGAAGCAGATGTAGTTTGTTTTGTTGAGGAATAATAAGAATTATAGAGGAGCCTAAATTACATTTTAAAAATTACTCATGATTCCTTAGTCCAGTAAAATCAGTCACTGAATGTTTGAGAACATTTGTATTGGAGTAAGAACCTAGGTCTGTGCTGTCTAATCACTAGCCACAAGCCACATGTGTTTAATGAGCATCTGAAATGTGGCTAGTCAAAATTGAGATGCTTTGTGAGCATAAAATACATACCAGATTCCAGACATTTGTATAAACATATAATCTAATAGGTTGGAATCTATTGATTACATATTAAAGCAACATTTTGCATATATTGGGTTTAAACAAAATATAGTATTAAAAATAGCTTCAGCAGCTCTATTCCCAAGACAACTCCTGTCTCTCCGGACATTTCTTTAAATGAAATTGTCCCTTTCAAATATAGAGTTCTGTAGGCCTGTGTCTGTGCAGGCTCCATCTCCTCTCTTTTTTATCTGATAAATCTGCCCTTCTGAATATAAATAATAATAGTAATCTCACCAGTTGCTTTTTACTTTTTCAGATGTGGCTACTAGATAATATAAAATTATTGTCTTCCATTATATTTCTATTGGACTTCAGTGGTCTAGGTCATTAACAGATAGTAGAGGTTGGTTAAAACGTGTGATGGTTTTCATGGTACTGGCCACATAAGGATTGAAAAATTTGGGGGAGGGAGACAGGATGAGTGGAGAAGGATTACAAGGAAGAGGTGTTTAGGGAAGTTTTGTAGGTAGAAAAGGTGACTCCAAAGTGAGCTGGGCGGTTGGGTTAGTAGAGTTTATGAATCAGGAAAAATATAAAACAAGAGTGTGTGCTAATTGAGGGTTGGCGGTCAGTGGAATTGAGGTTGGCAGGGGTTGTTGTGGGACAGTCACCTGCATGGTCAAAGGGCAGATGGACTCGCCTGGACAATCACTGGAGAGCAACTGCTGCCATTCTGTAAGGGGGTTCCACAATCATCACTCATACAGAGAGGTCCCCAGGCTGAAAGTCAGACAGCCTGGGTCCCAGCTCTGGTTCTACATGTAATTATGGAGTGACTGAGAGCATGCCACCCATTAAGGAACTTATCAGGCCAGCTTTTAAAAATGGGATGAACAAGAGTTGTCTACCAACTCTGCAATGAGGTTTCAGTGGGGTAAAATATGGCATATTAAAAAACACAATGGATTCTAAGAATTTTACATGTATTTCTCATAACAGTATACAGGTAGATATCTTTTATTTCTACAGCTATGCATATGAGGACCACAGAAAGATTAACCTGCTTTTGGTTCTAACAGCATAATTGCTCTAACATTTAATTTTTTGAGAGAGAATAATTGTTTGGATTAGGAGTAAGGTGGGTATCTGGAAAGATTTCTTTCCTCCTCCTGTATCCCAGATAGTCAATATAATTTCTTGTATAATATACCCTTTTACCTTGATTTCAAATTTAGCCTTCATTATATACTTACTTGGTATTATGGCATATTTCTGGAGTCTTTACTCTGTTAATCTATTATTGTACCAATACTGAACTGTTTACCATTTTTGAATAATAGAATTAATACTTAAATAAGCATTAATTAAACATATAATAAAATGTTTAATAGTAATATTTATTAACCAACGACTCCATGGATTAATTTAGGTAAGACTGACACATCTGAGTAGGGTTGGATCTTGCCAGCAGAGATCAGGAATTCTCTTTGCTCTTCAAGTCTTATGTCCACATAAAGCTCTATTTTCCTTTTTTAGGATCTGTGCATCTATTTCTAGTAAACTTATCAGAAAATGGGCAGAATCCCTATAAAGAAAACTACAGAAATCTATTGATGGACTTAGAAAAAAAAAGCTCGAAGAGAAGCTTCCTTTCCTTGGTTGGGGAAGATGGTTTCAGGGCAGCCTGGTAACTAAATTTTATGGAGTCTGGATTTTTAGATGACCCCTGGATAAGTCATAAGATTGTCAATTTTATCATCTCTTCAATACTAATGTGATGTAGTTATTGTGAGGATTAAAGTTTTATATATAGCTATTATATATTTATTTATATAGCCTAGTATGCTTTTAAATTAATGTTTAATATTCTAACATGTTAGATTTTATG